GTTCTAATGGTCTCACATTCTAATGTTCTCATGTTTTAATGGTCTCATGTTGTAATGAACTCATGTTTTGATGGTCTTTGGTTCTAATGGTCTCATGTTCTAATTTACATTTACACTTAGGACATTAAGCAAACGCTTTTGTCTAACCCTAACTCTAACCCTAACCCATTTGTCACAAGAGACAAACCACAAATAATCACCGTCGATGGGGTAAAACAAAATACAGAAACAATCGTCAAGCCCTCATCTGAGGATGAGTGCTATGTGCTAATGAACTCATGTTTAGATGGTCTTTTGACTGTATCGATATGTTTTGAACAAACTCAGTAGTTTTGTTGTTGAAATTCTTTCACATCAGATTCAATCAGAAAAATGTGAAAAATTAAAAACTTGTGTTCTTCAGAAGAACCCGACACAGTGAGAGCAGGGGCAGGATGTGATGAGGGGAACAAATCAGAGTGCAGGAGGAGTGATGAATGAGAGTTAAACACCTGAGATGGTTGAACCCCATGTAAGAATGGGTAAGATGCAGTCTGAGCGGCAGAACAGAGAAATGATTCATGAGAAACCAAAGCAGCATGAAGACACTCATCAATCAACCTGAAAGTTGACTTTAAAACATTTCTAATTGAAACTGTGATTTCAGAATAAAATCAGCTTCAGATCACTAGTTTCAAGCTCTGATCAAACTTGTGGCATTTTCTGGTGTGTGTGATGGTTGTTGTGGTTCGGGAGGCCCACCTCCTCTCTGGCAGAGATGGTGGAGGCTGGTGTATTCGGCAGTGAGCTGGGCGAGGTGGTGGTGCCCATGCCCGAACTCGGCGAGTCTCCGTCCCCGGCGACATCATGGATTTCCTTCGCCAGGATGGCGAGGTCTTTAGCCAGGTCCTGACTGAGCCTGGGTGGAAAACAAAAGGTCAGCATGAGGTTTGACTGTTGACCAGATTGAATAGATATTTCGTTGTGTTTTTACTTGGCAATCTCTGCGCTGTGCGTGGACCAGTTCTGGTAAGGGTCGACCTCGTTCTGGTCTTCATCCTCTTCTGTTTCCAATGAAACAGATTTGGATCGAGTGGCGGCTGTGCGCTGGCCGCGGGGAGTCTGGGCAGAGGCGGAGTGATGGGACAAGCGTTTGGCTTTCGAAGCTGCAGCATTCATTTCATATTCTTCCTCAGAGGATGAGAAGTCTGATTCCTTCTGTCTGCGACGGGAACCTGTATTTAAATTTAGATTTATTTCATCAAAAAAGCCAACGACAAACTGAGGCAAAAAAAATGCACACCTCCCTGTGGTTGGCTCCACCAATCAGAGCAGTTTCATCTACATACATTTTATTTTCACTCATGAGGTCACTGTGACCGTTGACCTCTGAAATCTGATCAGTTCATCTTTGAGTACATGAGACAACTGGTCAAAATGTGAAGAAATTCCCTGAAGATTCCTTGAATTAAATTGAATTATCTCCATAGCAACAGCTTTTGGTGGTTCAGAGACCGACAGTGAAGCTGTGTTTCCATGGTAACGACAGGACACTGAGCTGTGACCTGATCATCAGTGACACAAAGAGACGTCTCCTGCACGAAGCTGAGCCAAAGCTGGTTAAGTATCCCTTCTGACAGTTTACCACAAAAACACAAGTTCATCAGAACCTGAAAAGGTTCCATGTGTCAGGGCGGTTCTATCATCTCGTTCTTCACTTTTACACTAAAATACATTTTAGGTACGTTGGTGAAGTCGTATATATCACACAATCTCACACATCTAAGAGAGGTCGTCAGCATACGTTTTGATCTATCGAGCAAATGTATTTCAAAAGCTGCTGATCAGCTGATGACACTGATGTAAACTCAAGAGAGGGTATTGTAAAAATACCCCCTGAGCAGGTAAACTGACTGAACTGATTCAAACAGAACTTCATCTTCACAAACAGGCAAAGTTTAGTCATTTTGAAATCTGCATCGTTAAATAAAAATAACTTTTTTGCTGACGTAAACATTTTCATGAAAGACCAGGAAGTAAAAAAACCAGAGTAGGCCACAGCAGAACAGTCAGGACTCACCAGTACTGGGATACTTTGCTCCACTGGACCGGGTGTGGGTCAATGTTTGCTTCCCAGGAGCTCCACCTCGTCTGCTGGCTACCTGCCGAGCGTCGCTCACCAATACCTTCCTGGTGGTGGAAGCAGACTCGGAGTTGCGGTTGGAGAAAGCAGACCGTCCTGTGGAGGATGTTTCATTGTCGCTGGGAGCTGTGAAGGAGCCAGTCCTCTTCCGGGGCATTGCCAAGATGTCCAGTCTGGACATCTTCTTCCCTTCGGCAGAGAGTTTGGGTGGTGCAGTGATATTGTCAGAATTCTGTGATCCCCGGTCAGTCTCAGCACCTTCGTTGTCTGAAGCCTCGCCCAGTCGTGCTCGGCGGAGCATGGAGGCTCGGGTCGGCCGTGGTGCTGACAAGCTGTTGGAACGTGTCAGGACCTGCTGAGTCACTGTCTTGGCCGTTTTGTCATTGTCCTCTTTCTGAAGAGGGGTGATTAGTTTCTTGCTACGGTTGGATGGACGAGAAGTTTCATGGTCAGATGACGTACTTTCAGTCCAGTGTGTACCAGGACTCTGCTGGCCCTCAGAAAGATCCAGAGAGCCACAGTTCCCTGTACTGCGACGCATTTGAAAGCGCTTTTCTGCATCACTCTTACTTGATACATTAGGAGTCGTCTGGCTTTGGCGTTTCTCAGAAAGTCGTTCACGGGCAGTGAGCTGCCGTCCCTTTTGTTGGATGGCTGGGCTGGAAGATGACTTCTCCTTCTGAAGGCTGCTAATGGCGGGACGCTTTTTAGAAGCTGAGTTGACCGGAGCGTTTTTGCTACTTACTTGGCTGACAGTGCTTGCAGTGTCCACATCTGACTCACCAGACAGGGAGTCATCCATGTGGCTGGAGGAACCCCCTTTCTTTGAGCTGCGACCAAAACCTGACGAGGGGAACCTGGTGTCCAGAGAAGACAAAGTTCCCTCAGCCTCCTGAAGGAACAACTGTGCTTCCTCGATGTTCTCCCTCCTTTGCTCCATGTCTCTGATGGATGGGTGGCTGGAAATATGGGGAAGTTTTTTCATCTGGACAGTGTCACTGGGCCGCTCTTTGGTAAAGCTCTCCTGCCGGACAAATGATGACATGCAATTGTCTTTAGTTGGGACAGAATCCCTGTCCTGTATTTGGAGGTTTGGAGCAGAGCTGTTGGGTTTAACACCTGTCCTCCTGGGTTCATGTCCACTCAGGTGTCGTATCAGGACTGTGGTAGGGGGAGTTTTTGCTGGGGGCTCTCGCGTCCTCTCAGACTGTACTGGGCTCTGGGCCTGGTCAGGTTTGCCTGGATGGTCTTCAGAACCAATGTAGAAGGACGTGGATTTGTTGGATGGAGACACTCTCTCCTGACCTCTAACCTGAGGACCAGTGACCCCTGGTGACATAGCTCCAGATCTGACTTGATTCCTCTTTGTCCTTTCCAGAACTGGTCCATCATCTGAGCGGCTGGCATCGCTCAGGCTATCTGGGTCTACGTCATCCTTAACAGACAGATGCTGGGTGGAATCTTGTCGGTGGGGAGGACCAGACACTCTGTCCAGAGGTTCTTCGCCTTGGTAAGATTCATGACCAATCAAGATACTCGGGGCGACACTATCCAGCTTCTCTGGAGGCACCTGGGGCAGCAGCCTTCTGATCCTGGAGCTGTGGCTTGATTCCGACTCAGAGTTGTCGTGGCTGTAAGTTCCCATTGAGCTGCTCATGAAGCGTAAAGCTACAACAACAATTTGTTACATCATTACAACTTTTAATATTTGTTTCTTTTATTGTTTAGAACTTTAGTTTTTTATATTCCAGAAAAAATATTTTTGTGTGAACATATGTGTTGCATCTTTTCCACCTCAAAACATAAGCTCACAAGTTATATGATCTGAATTCTGTTGAGACCATGTAGAGAGGACATGGTTCTATTAAGAAAGCTTACTTCATTTTCAGTTAGAAATTGTTTAGATTTCACTACAGCTACGAATACACATTATAACCAGCTGGTAATAGCAAAGGCCTGTGATTAGATGTTGTCTTCCAGATATAGATCTCATGTTCAAACCAGGTGGACATTGGGTCAACATATTTAGAGATTTGATACCTAGCCCTCAACAGATCACACTTATGTTGTTTCTGACAAAATGATTGGACAGACTTTCAACAGCACCTTCTAGACTTTCCCCTTGAGGTGGAGTGGAACCAGGTTCAGCATAGCTATCTGCCAGACTGGCCCAGCGGGAAACCCACTTAGGTCCTTCCAGACCTTGTACATGAGCAGCTGGAACCTAGGAAACAAAGGATGATGAACAAAGTTACCAGACAATAGAAATGAGGCACAAGAAACCAACATGTTTTGACAGATTCTGATTTTAGCAGGAGAAACTGTGGGAATACGAGTCTGCATGCACTGGGATCAGAACATGCTACACAGGTTTTTTCCAGGTTCTGATTCAATTTCCAGTGGTTTTTACCTGTATGGGGCCTGTTGGGGGGCCACTGATTGCAGCTGGGATAAAGCCATGCAACAGGTCCACAGTGCTACCATCACTAGGCAGGTTAGCTTGTTCATCCTTGCCATCATTTATTACAGGTCTATACACTCCTGTGTTCACACCACTGTACTCTGGAGAGTCGAGGACACCAAACACCTGTCGGAGCACAGGGCATGCATGAGGATGGGGGGCAGGACCATGACAACAGGCAGGAGCAAGAAGGACAACAGCGTCCATGCATCCCTACAACAACTTAAAGATTTACTGTCTCACAAAATAATAGATCGGGTTCTGAGTCGCGTCAAACACCAACAGTGAAATATGAGAATCCTGATCTGTGTTTTTATTGACAATGGTATTTAGAACCAGCTGATTGGGAGTAGGTGGCAAGCTGTAAATCTTTTTGATATTACTGACTCTGCGAACCTCAAACAAAGAAACGTTTAAGGAATATTTTATTTATGTTAGTTCACTGTTAGCAACAGTAGCTGGAACACATCATTGTGATGAGTTCCCTCACAGCAACCGAACAAAAGTTTCAACCTTCAACCTTCCGCAGACTGGATAATTTGTGATCTGTTGTCTCATCGCAAAACAAACTTCATCAGGTTTGAACTCTGATGGAAGATGTTGCGCTTTCTACACAAGTAAAGATTTTTCTCTGCTCAGCACTACTCAGGACTCAACACGAACCACGTATGCTGCTTCATACAAGAACCTGTAAAGCTAAAACCACCCAGGGTCTCAGTGACTTCACCTGATCGATCATGTTGCGAGCCTCCTCCACCTCCTTGTCCTGTGACTCTGTCTCGATGGTGTAGGTTCCGGCATCACTCAGACTGTCATCCTCCTCATTCCTCACCATCCTCTGGGAACCTTTTATGTCTCCTGCACGGACGCCATGAGGGAGCATTGAGGACATGTGAGGTCCAGAGGAGCGCACAGGAGAGGCAGTCTGTCCAGCATTAGTGGGGGTGGAGGACTGTAAAATGGCTGGAGGCTGTAAGGGGGACGAGGGGTAGGAGACAGAGGATGGTGCTGTAGGTTCTTGTGGAGAGGGAATCCTTACATGAGGAGGTGACACCATCACTGGCGGCGCAGACATGGGTGGAGGTGACATCTTGTCCCTTGTTGGAGAAGAGTCCTGCTGACTGGAATCCTTCAGGAATTCAGTGGCAAACTCCTGGGCAAGCTTGGATTTCTTCCCGACGCTGCCAAAGGGTCTGATGACGATGCCTGGGGAAGAGCGAGAAGAGGAATTCAATGAGGCCACCTCCCCCTCTGTCTTCTCTCTCTTTAGAGAGCTCGACCTCTGGGGTCCACCGTGGCTCTGCCCCTTCAGAGGAACTGTCATCTGCTGGGTGGGGGGGATGTGGCCATGCACTGATGCCGGCCTCTCGCTGCCTTTGCGCCGCTCCATCTTGGCCTTCAGGGCAGAGTACGAGTCTGCGTGGGCAGGGTTGTGCGTGAAGGACTGTGAGCGTTTTTTGCGTGGGTTGTCATCGAAGAACTCAATGATGAAGGCCTGCTGGGTAAGGTGCTCAGGGGGGCCCTGCTTTTGTATCTCGGTGGTGGGGGATGGACCTTGAGTAGGGCTCTGGGACAGGGGCCGCTCTGGGGCCACAGGTGAGGCTGGGGCCGTACTGGTCGGAGAGTACTGCAGTGGCTGGTGGAGCTTCTGTGTAGGAGTAGGCGGTTGACAGTAGATAGACTGACTTGATTGGACAGCGTGCTGCAATACCTCAGACTGCTCTGATTGGACAGAGTGGTGGGATTTACTCCTTCCTTTGAGAACTGGGTCTTCTGAGTCGCTCTGGGTTCCATCCTCATGATGGTGACCTGAAAACAAGAACAAACATATGAAGCCATTGATCGATATACCACAGTAGAACCATAGCAGAACCACAGCAGACACAGACAGTGCCTTATGTGCAACACCAGACTCTGACCTCTGAGGGTCTTGATGTTCATGGCGAGGTCGCTCTTTGTGCTGAAAACGTCTTCACATGTTGGACGTCTCCTCATCATGCTGACATCACTGTGGACCAGCCAATCAGCCACCTTGCTCTCTGCTGACATCACCTCGGCAGGTGTGGCTGTGATGGTCGTCTTGGAGGGCGGAGCCTGCTGCTTCCTCTGGCGGGTGGAGAACTTAGTGACATGGTCTTTGATTTTGATTTTTCCTGGCCTGCAGTCGTCGAATTCAATGGTGAAGGAAGCGTGGCTCTGAACAACTGGCGGGGTCTGGGAGGGAGGGGAGGGAGGGGCTGGGGGTATATCTGTGTCCTTGGTGGGGATTTCATGGAGCTCCACCCCTGAGGTTCGGGGATGCTGGAAGTCCTTGGTGGGGATCTCGAAGTAGCTCGGTTCCCGGTGGTATGAGGGGAACATCTTTGGTTGAGAATTTGACAGAGGTCCAGAAAAATCTGGATCCACAGACAGAACATCTTTCTGCACTTCTGACATTAGAAAAAAAAGGTTATTTATAT